ATAAAATAAATCAAGTAAAAATAATCTCGTCAAGACCAACATGAGGATAGGGTTGGATTAGCATCATAATCACTACTGAAAAAACAGCTGAATGGCTAGCATTTATATAGTGCTTCAAGGCTTGCAAAGTGCTTTACAGATTTACCTGGGAGGTAGGTGCTATTGTTATTTCCATTTTACAAATGACAGAAACTGAGACCAACAGGTTAAAACAGTTGCCAACGATCATGAGTTGCCCACTATCCCAAAGCCCGTGCTAAGGTGAGATTTGAATTCGGTTTCCTGATTCCAAGCCCCATTCTCTAGCCACCGCACCACCTAATTACCTGAAAATTTTGAATCATACCTCTCCAACCTCACTTCCCATCCTAACAGGAGGAAAAGAACACGAGGTTTGGAGACAGGACCTTGGTTCAAATACTATTCTTGCTACTTGCTAATACTGTTTGTGGGTAAGTCACTTAAATTTTTTTAAGCCATGCTTTACTCATGTGTAAAAGGGATAATTATGTTTGCAGAATTACAGATACCCAAGAGATTAAAAGAAATTAGGCTGTTTGGTGGCAATATACCTGTATAAAGTTAGCTGTCAAGAACACCACATGGTGCGCAAGTGCCTCTGAAAAATTGGAAACAAGTTATATTGCACCAAGGACAATAGAGAGGCACATGGTAAGGGTGAGCAGAAAGTTAACCTAGGAACCAAGGAATTATGTGTTAGCGGGAGAAGATGCATTGACTGTGTTGGAAGAGTGAGGAGTGAAGGGCTCCACAGGTATCCTCAAAATGTCAGGGGAAATTGACGAAGGCCCCAAGCCTGATGGGTAACTTTTTCCAGGACTTGGACAAGGGACTCGACGTATTTTGTGTGATCTGCACTGTTAGAGGCAAATTCTGAATTGAAGAGGTCATAGACTTAAGAGTTGGGAGGGGTCTCAGTCTCCGTCTAGTTCAACTTTCTTACTTAACAGATGAAGAATCTGAGGCTGAAGAGTGACGCAACTTGACAGGGGTCACAGGGCTAGCAAGCATCAGAGGTAATATTGCTCCAAGTTCAAAAGCCTGCCTCCCACAGACCCCTTGGAGTACTTAATAGGACAAAGTGCTCCCTTTTCACAACTACCGCTTTGGAGCCCATATTGAGACAGAATCCTTGGCTCAATGGGCCACATGGACTTAAGAGCTGGAAAGGACTGTAGAAGCCATCTGATCCTTCCCCAGGTTTTCTTGTTTCCAAAGCCAGTTTTTCCTTTTTAAATCATTTTTAATCATTTGGTGTTTCTGAGAATTGGGGATTTGGTTTTCTCTCCAACTAAATCTTTACGATTTTTTCTTTGTCAATTCTTGAAGCATTCATTTTGTGACTTATATGTGTAAATTAGAGATGCTAATGTGTGTAATGTATTTATAAGCAAATGTAATGTGTGTAATGAATTTATAAACAATCTGGAAATTCCATTCTCTTCCTTAGTTCACTGGATTGATAGCGTGAAAATTAAAAGCATCCCACACATTTAAAAAGGTCTAACTAGCCTTATTTAGGTTGTTTTGGACATCTGAGTTAGGATCCTTTTGCAATTTTAAACCTGTTGTGCATTATGTCAAGCCTACACGACTACTACTCGCCAAAAGTTAAATAATGATTGAATACTGAATGTGAAGATAGTAAAAAATAATTGTGTGCAATTAAGAGTCTATATTATATTGTTCGGTTAAACTACAAAGTAACTTTAGAGATGAGACTTTCAAACAGTTTCATACAATTCAATTTTATGTGTATTCAGAATATTTTCATATACTCAGGAATAGTGGTCATCAAATGGGGTTAGGTGTTCTTTCCAGTAGCTGGGATCACTACCCATCCTTGCCTGCCTATTCTGTATCAGCTTGGTTCATGCCCTCCCATAAGGTGCCACCAGGAGTCCACCAAACAACTGCCCAAAGGACATTCCTAAAGCAGGGGTGACTTTCCAGACCAATCCCCAGATCGTTAGGTTCCAGTGGCTCCCTATTATCTCTAGGTTTGGCACTAAAGGCTGTTCCCTGTGGGCCATCCCCCACCTCACCTTCACCTCTTGAAATCATTAGCCTCTTTTCAAGGTTCAGCTCAAATGCCACCTCCCACACACATGAAGCCCTTCCTGGCTATATCTGGTTCCAGCCCCAAGTGCTTTACATGTCATATGTGCATATGCAGCAAGGTAAACCTTTTATTCCACCCAAACAGATTGCCTACCTCACTCCCCACTAAGGCTATTACTATAAACCTTTTCTTCTCCCTTAAGCCTCCAACACCTTCCCCCCCCCCCACCCCATCCCACAGATAAGGACCTTCTAATTGACTGAGAAAACGAGAGTACATTTGATCAGAACCAGCTCTTTTCCCATTCTCTTCAGCTCAAAAGCCCTACCTACATCTCCCAACTTAGTCCCTCCTTCTAGTCTGACAAGTGGACCGCCCTTCAATCACCTTCATGTACTCGTGATCCCATTCCATTCAATTTCTCTGGCAGAATTCAACCTCAATCACCCATCCACCCTCTCAAATCTTCAACCTCTCCTAGTCTACTGGCTCCTTCTCCTGACTAACCCCAAACATGCCCAAGTCTCCCCTCCCCTTGTAAAACTTTTTCTAGATGCTACCATTCCCTCCAACTGTCATTTAATACTGTAATATTAATGTATATTACATACTGCATATTTAATACTCTATACCTCTCCTTTCAACCCACTCCTTTAAAAAGATGTCTGTACTTGTTGCCTTTGATTCCTCGCCCATCACTCTTCAATCCTTTGTAATCTGCCTTCAAACCTCAAATAAAACTGCTCTGTCCAAAGTAATCAACAGCCTCTCTTAATTGTCCACTTAAATTCCCAGTCTCCTCCCTCAATCGACACTGTCTGCCCTCTCCTCCTCCTGGATTCTCTTCACTAGGCTTTCCTGGCTCTCCTCCGTACCTGTCTGACTGATTCTTCTGTGTCTTCCTGTTACCTAGCACCTCATCCTTCACATCATGCTCCTGTAGACTCTCTTCGTCCTTGGTAACTTCATCACCTCCCACAGTCTTAAATGATCTCTAGGCAGATGACTCACAAATCCATTATCTATATATCCAGCCCCAGTTCTCCTCCCCACCCCCAAATTTAGTCACTACCTATAGGACATTTCAAACTGAAATGTCAACTATGTCCAAAACCAAACTCATTATCTTCCCTCAAAAACCCTCCCCTCTTCTAAACTTCACTATTTCCAATCTCCTAGGCTTCTAACTTCAATACTTAGCCAATCAGTATACATAATACAACTGGCCAAACTCCACAACATCCCTTCCTTCTGACTCCTTCTGGAATTCAGCTACAAGCTGCCCTCACATCTAGCCAACAGCCTGCTAACGGGTCTCCTACCTTATGCCCCTCCCCACTGAAGTCCACCTTCCCGACTGCAGCCATCTCTAGGGTTAATTCCCTACTAGCTCCCTAGGGCCTCTAGGACAAAATATTAATCAAGTCCTCCAACCTATCTTCTCAACCTCACTGGTCAGGCAGGACCCTCCCTCTAGCACTTGGGGACTCAATCAAATAAACTTCTTTGTTGTTCATAATGACACTCCACCCCCTTCAATTCATAGACTCCTCTTCAAGACAGGCAGCTCAAGCACCATCTTCTTGGGAAACCTTTCCTGATCCCCCAAGAACTGATGCCTTTTCCCTCCCAAACCAACTTTATATTTAACCGCTTTGTATCTGTTCACTTTATATTTATGTTGTAAATATATGTATACGCAATTGTGGTCTACCCCGTGAATACTTTTGGCTAGTATTTATAAAATACTTTAAAGTTTGCAAAACATTTTACAGATTATTTCATTTGAATATAAATTCCTTGTGAGTAGGGATTGTTTCATTCTTTATAACTTCAGTACCTATCACAGTGCCAGTGCCTGGCTTTTAGAAGGAGGCACTTAGTATATGTTGACAGTTTCCCACTCCCCCCAGAACACAAGCTTCTTCAGGATAAACTTAATTTTTGTCTTCCTATTCCCAGTGACTAGCACTGTGCCTTACACAAAGTAGGTACTTAATAAATTCTTGATTAACATAACACCTAGGTATCTATGGACCCTAAAAACATAAAGACTTTTTCTTTGAATAATACTGGTTTGACGATATGACACAAAGTTGTCTTCCAATCAGCCTGCCATGGAAAACATTGAAATTTCCATTGTTACTGCTTTAACTTCATTTTTATGGTTTCAAATCAATCTTCAAAACAATTTCTAAAACTAGGTTTAAATGTCCAAGTGAGGAGAAAGTTAAAATAGCCTCTCTTTTAATAGAGGCTTCTTCCAAAGTTATCACTTCGGAAAGCTCGTAATGGGCACTTATTGCAAGCTATTCTTGCACAAAGGATTCTTTGTTGATACAATGGCTTCGACTTCGTTGTGTTCCACAGAATCCTTTCACACCAATGCTTCCATTAGAGAATGCCAGAATCACTGATTTTGAGAGAGTTCTAACTGATAAAAGGGTCAAAGCTTGGTTCTGGCAAATCCCAGAGCCTGCTCGCTCCCCTTCTCCCCGGGGCCCTAGCCAGGAGATCTCAAAGTAGGGCACTTTCAAGACAATTCTGCAGCTCTCCATCCACAAGGCAGCTCCACCCCTACTCCACCATATGTGGGCAAATTCCACACCCACCTATAGACTCAACCTATGCAGGCAGGCACCCACCCCTGACCCACCATATATGGACAAACGCCCACCCCAACACACCGAGACGACCAAACTCCGCCCCCTAAAAGTCATGCTTAATCGAGAACACGCCTCTGAAGTTTACCACTTTGCCCCCCTCCAAAAAAATACAGCGGAGAAACGTCCTCAAGCGCCTGTAAAAGGGCAGCGTGTCCGCACAGTCGGGTCGGTGTCCGCAGCTCGGCTCGGGTCCGGTCCGGCCCGGCCGGACGGGTGGGCACCCGCACGCGGCCCCGCGCCCCCCCGCTCACCTTCAGGTCCTTCTTGGTCACGTCGATGTGGGACACGGCCCGGATGGTGCCCGACACCCAGGGCCACTCGTCCACTCGCTCCACGTCGAAGCTGTGGCCGCTGCCCCCGCACTCCTTGGAGGCCGACACGCTCAGGAACCTCTTCCCGACCAGGACCGGCCAACTTTCTCCGAGCGTGAGCACCATGTCAGCGGCGGACGGGCGGGCGGGCGCGTGCGGCGCGCGGGCTCGGCCGCCGCCGCCGCCGCCGCCGCCGCCCTTTAAAGGAAAACAAGGGAGAGCGGGCGGGCGCGGAGGCGGCGGGCGCCCGGGGGAGGGGAGGGGAGGGCCCGAGCCGGCGCAGGGAGGGGCGGGCCGAGGAGGGGGGAGGGGAGGCGGCACCGCCTCCGCTCCGGGCGCCGCCCGACGCACGCGGCCCCCTCCGGCCGCGCCGGGCTTTAAAACCGCTCCGGCCGAGCGCCGGCGGCGGCCCCTCGGCCCCGGGGGAGGCGGCCCAACCGCCCCGCCCTCGCACCCCGCCCTTTCCAGGCAGTCCCTCCCGTCCCTCCCGCCCCACCCGGTCCCGGCCGAGCCCGGGCCCCCGCCGGGGATTTACCGGCCGGCGTCCCACACTCTCGCCCTCCTCGGCGGCCCCTGCGGGCCGTGCGCTCCCGGCTAGCCCCGGCGCCCGAGACTGGGCCGCTCAGTCGGCGCTCCTGCTCCACGGACGGCGGCGCCTCAGACCGAGAGCTTCCTCCGGCTCGGTCCAAACGCTCTAGCCAGACACGCACAGAGCCCGTGCCCGCCCCCTCCAGCCGCTGCCGCCGCTGATTGGCCGGTGTGAGGGGGATGGGCGGGGCCTCGGGGAGAGTCGGCTCCTGCTACTGGTCGTGAATCCAGAGGCGTGGCGAAGGGGAAAACAATTCCTTGGCTCCCCCACCCCCTTCGCGTCCCTCCCGCCCCCTCCCTTCCCAACTCCAGTACGACCCCCCCCGTCAGACTGACTGCGCGGAGTCAAGAGATCCTTCCGCCGGCGGCCTATTCTTTACCAACGGGGGCCCGTGGACTATGTAAAGGAGTTCCCCTCACAGAAGCGCTCAACTTTGTAGAAAGCAGAAAAGGAAGTCGTGGTACCCCCAGGGAAGAATCACCTGTAAAGTTTCAGGGCCTGATCCCTTTTGCTCTTTAGGATCAAGGACGCGCCTCACAGGAGGCGGAAGGATCTGGAGGGGGAGGGAAAGCAACCGGGGGAAAGAGTTCTACGTGCGGTTCCAGGCGTACTCCGAGACCGGGCGGAGTGAGTCGGTAGGGAGGGGCGGGCCCAGCGCAAGGGCACCCGGCCCGCGGGGGCGGGGCTGGGACGCGAACGGAGGCTGCTGAGCCAGGTGGCGTCCGGGGCGCAGGCGCACACGGAGCCTTCTGGTCTTGGAACGTGTACGGCCCGCCATCTTGGGCGAAATGAAGAATGGCCAAGCCCTGGTGGAGCTTGCATTGTTTGAAGGGCAGAGTAGTGCATACTTGAGTCTGTTTCGTGCAATGGGCTTGTTGGCCGACGCAGAAAGGCGAGATCCTCAGAAGACTTGCATTGGGCAGGAGAGGTGAAGGGATGGGGGAGCAGGTGGATGAGGAAATGGTGGCCAACTTGGGAAGGAGTTGACTTTGAAGGACAAAGGAAAGAGGCATGGCCCTGCTACCAGCAGGCAGCTGTCGTGGGCGTATTTTACGGATTGGCGTCAACAGTGGTATTAGAAGATTTTGTGTCTAATTAAATATAAAGTACTAATTGGCAAAACTATCTGCTACTGGTTAAAAAAGAATTTAAAAGCAGATTAGTTCAACAGACCAAGAGAAGAATCAGAAAAAATAACCTAGTGTTTAATAAACCCATGAATGCAAATTACTTGGGGAAGAACTCCCTATTTAATAAACTGGGAAAACTGTTAGAGAATCTGGCAGAAACTTAAGTTTAGACCTACATTTTATACCATATACCATCATAAGCTTAAAATGAATATTATAGAAAATAAATACCGAAAGTCACACATTAAAATTAAAAGAGAACTTGATAATGTACCTTTTATATTTATGGCTAGGGGAAAGAGTTCTTAGCCAAACAAGGGATAAAACTGCATCATAAAAAGATAAATAAATAACTTCAGTTATACATAATTAACTTTTTGGACACACAATGCCATTAGAATAATAAGGGAATAATAAGTGTTCATTAAGAAAAAATAATTTTGGAATCAAATATCTCTACAAAGGGTCAGGAGAAATAATGTTAGATTTAAATATCTCTTCAAAGGGTCTGATATCCATGATACAAAGAGAACCAAAACAAAAAAGACCAAGAGGCATTGTACAGTGGATAAATAAAGGATGTAAACTTCAATAAACAATTCTCAAAAGAAAAATTGCAAACTATTAATGGTCATGTGAAAAACTGTTCCAAATCACTAAAAATAAGAAACATGCAAATTAGAATGTCACCAAAGTTTTACCATACACGAAGAAAATTGGCAAAGATGACAAAAGATAGGTAATTTGCCCTGAAAAAAGTAGTTAGTGGCTTAAAGAGGAGATTTGTCACATAGCTAGTGAGTAACAGAGATAGAATTAGATCACCACCTATCTCCTAACTCTCAATCCACTGTTCTTGCTAATATACCAATTGATATAGGATTTCAGAGGTGGGGAAGGTCCACAGATAAAGTAAAAATTCATAAGCCACAGTGGGTAGGATATTCAGGGAGATGGATTGATTAATTTGAAATATATAGAAAATGTAGTTGGCTTTTAAGCTCCCGCTTAGATGTTAAATTCCATCATCTGTTTCTATTAAGCCTTAAATCAACAAATTAAAAGTTGTCTCACTTTTATTATTGTAAAAGTAGTCTCTAAAAATAGGCTCATGAACCAATAACAACAACAAAAAACCCTTATTCAATGTTGACATTTCTTATGACTCCTTAATATAAATGTCTTATCCCTTATACCTCAGGAGTAAGGACTTTTTTCCCTCTGAAGAAACTTTTAGTAACAAGGCAAATAGAGTCCTCCAGCTTAAGTACTAAAATACCCCCCAAATTTGGGATAATAGTCAAGACTAAGAATGGAAAAAAACCTAAAATAGGTTGGTAGATGTATAAGGTTGGGGTTGAAACCACCCCACCACTGCCACCACAACTTAACTTGATGCCTTCATTATATCAATGAGAAGTTTGAAAAGTCTTTAAAAGTTACTTCAAGTGGAATAACACCAAAAAAACTTGTTGTAATTGACTTTGGGATTTAATTACACCCTCTGGATCCTGTATAAAAAAAATGGATCAAAATAGGTGGAATGGGAGACTCTTCAGAAGTTGAAATATGGGTGGCTTTCCAGCAAATCACTGAGGATCAACTGCCATTGAGAGTGGGGATGGGAGAAGAAGAATCATTGGTTTCAACCAAGTTTCCTTCCTTCTCCCCCATGAACTTTGACCAGAGGAGGTGTTTTCAGCTTCCAAGGTTCCCAAGAATGTTAGATACTTCCCATCAATGTCTTAAATGTCACTTCAGGGTCAGCTGATGGTAGTGTCTGCACTGGGAGTCAAGGACAAAGATCCCACAGAATTACCATGCTTAAAGAGCACTCCATAAATAATATGAAGGGATTCACAGTTGTGAGTGTTACCCTTTGACTCTCTAAGGTTGAACCCACTCTTCCCTAGACTCTTCTGTACTTGTGAGAGAGTGTGCTCCAAATGCTTGGGGTGATGTTGGCTGACTTACTAGATTGATTCTCAACTAATAATCTTAGAAGGAAGCATGGTGTGGGGGAGGGGGGGAATAAAATCTTGGCATTAGAGAAATACCCCAGAACCCTAATGGGGGGAGAGGAGATATATCCATTGTAATTCTGTGGGTATGGGGATGAAGTTGCCAACCAAAGCTTCCGGATACAGATGCAATTGCAACCTGAATAAGATAAAACTCAGATGAACCAAAAAGGCAAAAAGGGCCTCAGTAATCTAGACATCCATATTTTTTGCTTGAACAATCAAATCAGTATTACCATCAAATCTGGAAAAGACATGTCAATTGAGTGTCCTGTGGATCACTTGGGCAACCCCCCCCCCATATAAATCACTTCAACACGTTAGAATGTAAGTTGGTTGAGGGCAGAGACTCTATTTTTTTTTTTAATTTATAGTTCTCAGTACTCAGCAGAGAACCAGGAACATAGAAAATATTTTTTCATTCATTCATTCGTTCATTCTATTCATTCAAATAGAAGAATTTAAAGAAACTTGAGAAGTTCTGACCTAAGGGATATGATTTTATCTATTATAAATTCATGCTGCTAATCTCGGGTAGAGCCCCCAAGGCTGCCGATGGTAGTGTTTTTAGAAATTAATCCGTCACTATTGAAGTCCTGGATGCTTCTGTTACCTTTTTTCTCCTTTTGGCCCTTATGGTGTGACTCACATTTCTAGAAAATGTCCATCCACAAATTGTGTGACTGTTGGGCGTGTTTCAGTCTTAAAGCCCAGAGGCTTTAGTTTCCTCTTCTGAGAAAGGAAGGATAGGGACCAGACCTGAGATTTCACTGATAAAGAGTCAGCTATATCCGTGCAGGTCAGCAGACGTTCTTTGCGTCTTGTTATCCCAGAGAGGTGCGTAGAAATGACATTTCTATCCCTCTACCTGGATGTGCCCTCTAGCCCTGTTGGAAGCACCCTTGCCCTCAGTAGCGTCTCCTTCCATGTGACTGGTTCGTACTGGAATGTCCGTTTTAAGGGGAAGACGGGTCATCCAGGCTCTTTTCCTCCCCAGGCTGCACCGCTAATTTGCCAGACTTTCTCTGCCATGCCCAGAACCAGGCACCGTCACTCCCACCCAGTTCGACAGCTTTAAAGCTCCCTTTTATTTTTTTATTGTTATAGTATTATCTTTTCCCATTGAATGTAAACTACTCGAGGACAGGGACTGTCATTCTGTTTGTATTTCTATTTTCAGCACTTAGAACAGTGCCTGAGTAGTAAGTACTTGCCACAACCTACAAGTCTCAGAGGAACGACTTGAACCATTGTTCACTGCTTTGTCGAAGGACCTGTGAATCAGTACAACCATTTTGGAAAGCTCTTCGGAGTTTTGAAAATTAAAGTGTATAAAATGTAAAAGTTAAATTAAAATTAAAGTGTAAAAAAGTATACAAAGTGTAA